CTCTCTCTCTCTCTCTCAAAGACTGACTAGATCGTCGGAGGGGATACGCCGAAAAACACTCCGACGCCCTTCTAACTTGTTCTTCTTTGTTCCAGGAACCTCTTTCAGCCTTACAGGATCGTTCTTCCTTTCCCAGGGTCTCCTGTTGCCGTCCCAGGCTACCACCGTACCTTACAGGTTGTCCCAAGCAGCGTGTTTGGTCACTCAACCGGCTCACTCGAGTTCACCAAGTGAGAGATTTGTTCTCGTTTTTTATATTGTGCAGGATCTTGCACGCACAATGACAATATCCAAATACAGGGTCAAGCCCTCTCCACTTCCTGACAGTTGGAAGCTCAGTGAAATTTTTGCAACTGGAATTGTTATAGGCAATTACCTAGCAATAATGACTGTTATATTTTTGTACTTGGCATATGAAACAAGTTTCTTTGCAGTAAATGCGGCACTTATTCATTTTCTAGTCCACATTTCTGAGTGATGAACACAAATATTCTTTGTTGATTAGGTCACAACAACATAAAGCTCTGACATTAGGTCACAACAACAGCATGAGCCTCAGTTTAAATATCATTGGAGATGCAGAAGACAAAAGATCTCCCATCTTTGCTTTGTAGATGATTTAATCATGTTATGTCATGGGGACCCTAAATCAGTTAAAGTTCTTAGACGGGTTCTAGATAAATTCCAAATGTTATCTGGCTTAAAGGCTAATCCTTCCAAGGGCCACATCTTCCTTTCAGGTGTTCAAGATGAGCAACAACAGTTGATGGTTGAGTGTTTCGATTTTCCTATTGGTTGTCTACCTATGAAATATCTTGGGATCCCTATTATCACCACTAAGCTCAAGTTGCAAGACTGCTCTTCATTACTTGAAAAAGTGGACTCAAGGATAAACTCATGGGTTAATAGAGCTCTGTCTTATGCTGGAAGACTCTAGCTCATTAAATCTGTGTTATGTATCATTCAAGTTTATTGGGCTAGTCATCTTATGCTTCTTAAGAAGATTCTCCATGCTATTGATCAAAAACTAAGATCATTTTTATGGTCTAGTACTGAAATGAAAACAAAGGGGGACAAGGTTGCTTGGAGTGAGGTTTGTGTACCCATAAAGGAAGGGGGATTAGGATTGAAAGATTTAAGGGCTTGGAACAAAGCTCTTATGCTCAAGCACCTCTGGCACTAATTTCTGATGAGAACAACACTTGGACCAGTTGGATCAAGGAGCATCATCTTAGAGGCAAGAGCATTTGGGAAGTCAAAACTCCACAGATTTGTTCATGGAACTAGAGGAAGTTACTGCAAGTTAAGGAATTAGCAAGACCTTTCCTTCATTATGTTATTGGCAATGGTAGGAATACATCTCTCTGGCATGATTTTTGGCATCCTAATGGTCCTCTCCTTCTTAAATGGGGTCCTAGAGTTATTTATGATTCTGGGATCACTAAGAATGCTAAAGTTGCTTCCATTATCCAAGGAAACCAATGGAGGTGGCCTTCAACAAATCCTAGAAACTCCAGAATTATTGATGAGATCAAATCTTCTATGCCCAATTACTCCCCTACAATTGAGAAAAAGGATGAGATCAAATGGCTTCCCCAGGTCAATGGCAAGTTTTCTACCCCTTCAGCTTGGAATCAAATTAGGAGCAAGAAACCAGAGGTGTTGTGGTACCATCTCCTTTGGTTCAATCTTTGCATTCCTCGGGCCAGTTTTATCCTTTGGCTTGCTATAAGGTGTAGACTGGCCACAAATGACAGAATCCATAGTTTTTCACCCTACATTGGAACTACTTGTGTACTTTGCAGAGCTGATCAAGAATCTCACTCCCATATTTTTTTTGAATGCTCATACTCAGAAAGAGTTTGGAGGATTGTCATCAGTAAGTGTGATTGATCATGACAATCTTCTTCTTAGCAAAGTCTCATTGAGGCTATGTCCACCCAATGGAAAGGCAAACATCTTTAGAATTCCATTTGGAAATTATGCCTTGCTGTCACTATTTATATTATTTGGGGAGAAATAAATCATAGAATTTTCACCAATGAGCACAATGATCCAGGTACTACCCAGATAATGATTTTGAATGTGGTGAGAAGTAGGCTTCTTTCAATCAAAATCGAGGACACCCATCTTCATAGACAGGCTGCTTCTTCTTGGCAACTTCCAGGCTCTTGTTTTTACATCTGATGTAAATTCGATTTGTTGTTTACTGGCTTTGTAATCTGTGGGGAGTGCAAAATGCAACCCCCCCAGACTTCCTCTGCTTGCTTTTGTTGGACTGGTTGTAGGTTGTTGCAGTCTTGTCCTTGTGTCTCTGTTTTTGTTCTGTTTCCCTTTGGGATTGTGCTATGTACATTTGCATACTCAATATATCTTTTTGGTTTATTTAGGCAAAAAAAATTATAAGCTCTGTAACCCAAATCTTTGGGAACTATGTTTCTCTCATAGGTATTTAAAATACTGATGAACCCATGAATAACACTAGCTCTAATGCTTTTCGCTTTCTATTTCAGGAGCATTTCCATGTAACTGATTTCAACAAGAAAACTTACATCAATCTCAAAGACAAGGACGTCTCCGATGCACTAAATGAGCAGCTAGCGTCTGCCATATACCTTCAAGTTAGCACCATCAGCCAGGCCTTAATATTTGTCACACGCTTGAGAGGGTGGTCGTTCATGGAAAGACCTGGTCTTCTTCTTGTTGCCGCCTTCATCATTGCTCAGCTGGTAAGTGAGTAGGAAACTTGTTGTAAGTACACATCTTTCAATGGTGAATAAGGCCGAGACTTTTGACAATTGGTGTAGATACAGGACTCTCTCTCCGCTTTTCCCTATATAAATGATTAGGATTCCTTCAATAGCATTAATTTTAAAACCTTCTTTTTCTTGATTTGGCTCTTGGCTATAATGACTGCCAAATTGGTTGCCCTTGATTGCCAATATTGTGGTCCATACTTATTAGGTGTAGAAAGCACGGCAATCTAAGCTGTTAGGGACACATGGAGTTGTTTCCCTTTTCTTGTCTCTTTTTGCACTTAAACATAAAAAGTTATTGTTGCAAAAGACTATGAAAGCCATAATATCAGAAAAAAAAATATCGAAAACAACATAATGAGCTGATAACCCCTCTAAAGAGAAGCATGTCTTCATGAAAAATTCTTATGAATTCAACAGTTTACCGTGGTTCATGTTTTCTATTTCTTTAAAAAATTTGTGCAGCTCCATGATGGACTCTCTTGTAATTTACTGGGGGGAGGAAAAGTTTTTTTATAAAAAAAAAAAAAGGTGGAAGTTAAATCTGCTATCCACATTTTCAAAAATGTCTCCCAAAGCCCCAATATTCTCACCAGCTACACATTTGTTCATGCATAAATTTCAACTTGATTTGAATATGATAACGTATGCATCAAGTTCACATTGCATGTCCACTTAATATCTCTAATAACATTTTGGTAATACTCGACTGTAGTTCAACTAATGTAACAAAGGACTAAGTTTTTGATAATTTCAGTTCTGATGCTAAATTATGAAACTGATAGTGTTTAAACCTTGCAGTTTGCAACTCTGTTATCAGCAGCAGTTACATCGAGTTTTGCCGGGATTGGGAAGATTGGCTGGGGTTGAACTCTTGTTATTTGGTTATACAATTTTTTAACTTATTTGCTGCTTGATCCTATTAAGTTTGGTGTCCGCTATGCACTCAGTAAGAAAGCCTGGCGTCTACTAAACAAAAAAGTGAGTGAACTTGATTGAATCTTCTATGGCACTCACTTATTTGTTGCTGGGAATTTATGTGGACTTTGAATATTGTTAGAATATTTTAACTAAAAGAGTGCTTTGTATACCTGAGAACTCAATCCCACGTCGACTAAATATCCTAAGGTACTTGAATATATATATATATATACTAGAGTTATTTAGCCTTTGAATTAAAGAGAGATCTTGGAACTTTCACGTGTACAGGGGTGAGACTAGCGGAAGAGATACAGATTTCTAAAATCTACGAACCATTTTTTAATATTTTGTTTAATTATTTTCTGTCATTACTTCTATATTAAAATACCAAAAACCTCCAACGGCTAGTATTCCAACAATCATATTTTTTGAGTTATTATACAATTAAATATAGAAGTAATTACAGTCTATTGAACACATATATTGTTTGTATATATATATATATATATATATATATATACGTATTTTTAGTATAGAGAGAAACAATATCATATCAACTATATTTTTACAATATAAGTTTCTAGACAATATTCAAAGGTATGTGTGCAACTTCTGTTTTTTTCAATTGTGCAGATCTGAGTGAAACAACAGTCAATAGGCTGAACTGTTGTATCTGGGGACGACACGTCACTATCTTCTGCCCTGTCCGTGCCTCACCATGCCGTTCACTTTATTTGCATCCAATTTTTTTCAACACATATAAAGGCTAATTTCTAAACCCAATTTATTTCATTACTCTAAAGACACAAGTTCCTGTTTACCATATATCTGCAATGCCAGACGCCTTTCACCACCCAAAAGAGTATGTGGGATTGTAGGGACTAGGGAGCAAACAAAAAGCTCCAAAACCTGATTGGGCAGCCTTTCATGGATTTTGAGGGAGAAAAATGGAAGAACTCCTCAGCTTTATGGGTCACAGGAAGCACTAAAACACCCCTGAAAGGATTGTCTGTGCAAACTTTTCTCCATTAGACTAACTTCTCGCAGAAACAGCTGATGGTCCGAACCCAAAAGTTATACTGGTTGGTTAATGCAGTTACGCCAAATCATTTATCCATTTGGGAATCCATCCATATCGACATATTGCTACAAAGATACACTCAATATTATTTTTGTATTTTCTTTATTTCCTCCTCCTACTCCCCTCCCCTTGAACTAATCACCCCCACCACACCCCCTCCCTGTGTGTGCGCCCTTTTAAAGGGATGCCAACTGGCAACTACTTTCATTGTGCATGTGTTGTTCTGTTTTCACCATGTTATGCACACGCTTCTGATTTCAAATGACAAAACCAAATTTGTATCCCTTGCAGGTTAAGGGAGCTTCACACTTTGAAGGGCAGGGTAGAGTCCTTCGTGAAGCTAAGCTAAGGGGATTAGATATCGATGTCAATTCTCATTATACTCTCTGACAGATGTCCTGGCTGCGATCCTCCTTTTCATTGTTCCTCCTCTGCTCTATCTTTATGTGTAATTTCTCCCCATTGGTCGCTTTTATCACTGTGTATGGTTTGATTGTGCAAAAAACTCAGCTATATGCACAAATACAATCAATAAAAGCTCTTTCTACTGGTTTAGCCAACTACAAATGCCTTCATTAGTCTTGCAATGCAGAAGTCTTGAGGTTTTTTTTTTTTATTGGCATGCTTTGAATGTAATGTACTGTGACATGAACTGATTAAGGAACCAAGTAAATAGGCCTAGTCATCTTTTTCTACCAGTTTTTGGGCCCTGTGGGGCAACAAAAAAGAAAATCATCCATCAAAGCTACAGAAAGCATCAGGAGGAGATTGTCAGTTTGGCTTGTGTACAATTACATGAGAGCTTGAGTCAGGCATCTATGCACAGTGCTGATTTTGATGGAGCAATAGTTGATGAGCGTAGAGCCTCTCAGTCATACATTCAAATAGTTATAAGTTTTAATTCCCGAGTTTTTGGATTAATGATTGAGTTCATGATAATTGATATCAAATCAAACTACCACGTCATAGTGTGAGCTGCAACTCTCTGTAGTCAAATTATAGAAAAAAGCGAGTTATAGATTAGATTGAGATGACTTAGTATTATGTATGAGTGCAACTACTAATAGGTGGGTGAAGTCGTCCAAAAGAAAGGGTTACCATTGGGTCAGTGCCAATAAAATATACTGAAGCGAGGGTTAAAAATAACATTAGAAATACCTTTGTTTTTACAAGTCAATTTCTAGAGACAAGTATCCATGAGTTCATAACACTCAGTCTCATATGGGTGAGGTCATCTCGTTTGTCCCATTTTATTAGATTCAGTTTCACAATCAAATTTTTAACTCCCGTATAATTTTTCACTGTAAATCAAGGAAAAGTGTAATATATAAAAAACAAAAAATGAAAATTTCATGTATGTCCTAATTTATCGTGGAAAATTGAATAGAAGTCAACGATTGAATCCATGTGAAACTTAAATAAATCTATTTTTTTTTATACTAACAATGCATGACGTGCATTGCACGTAAATAAATTTATATATATATTTTTCTAGAAAACGTGAATCATATGTATAATTAAATTAAATAATAAATTAATTACTGAATAATTAATCTATATTTTAATTATTAATGTATCTCTTTCAATCCATGTTGACATTTGCATATTTAATTATATTATAAATTTATTAATTTTTATTTTGTTAAATAGATCGATTAGATCACTTATAATATTATTATATTATTATATACCGAAAAATAAATTATAACATATATTTGACCGTTAAATTGAATCTGGTAACTTCATGTGTATAATAATTTAATATATATAAGACTTTATTTTTTCTTATAAATCTAAAAAATTGTATATAATTGTATTACTAATAAATGAGTTCAAAAAAATTTAAAAGTCCATACAAAAGAGTTGAAAATAAATTGAAGGTCAAATAGGAGTTAAAATTAAAAATTAGATGAAAGTATACAGGTGAGTATAATTGACTTTATCATAATAATATGGGTAAAATAGAAAATCAAAAGCTTTGCACAAATGCTGAACTTTATATGTATAATAATTTAACATATATATAACAAATATAAATTTTATGTTTTTTTAATGCTGACATTTATAAATAGTACAGATTATTATAATTCATATTTATTATCCGAGCACGAAAGATAACACATGCAGGATAATTCAAAGGACACGTTACATATTACTTGTTTGCTTGGGTCCATGTTGTCATCATCTGTCACAAGAGCTCAAATTTCTTCAATAATTCAAAGCAACTACACAATAATTCAACGATTTGATTACGGTCCCGAAATTTTTATTTTAGGTATCATATTTTTATTTATTTTTATATCACATTTGTTGTTATATGTGGTATCAAAAAAAAGTAAAAATAATTACTACAACAATAATAAAAAAATTCACAAATAAAATAAAAATATAAAAAAATATAATAAATTACCCAAAAAAAAGGTAAAATTTTTTTGTACTAAAGGAGAGTGATAAAAATAATTCCACAAATATGGTAAAAATATCCGCACAACAGTAATAAAAATACTTATAAATGTGATAAATTCCCTATAAAAATAATAAATTTTTTAATTATAAAATAACCCACTAAAAATAAAAAATTGAGGTACAATACCAAAATTTTTTCATCGACACCATACTCAAGTCCATAATAATTTACACGTGGGGACGTCAAAACTGCCCATGATGAGTCCCCGAGTTAATCATAAAGATTATATTTATATATCTATGTTGACGTTTTAGCTAACATCAACTGTAGAGTTCTTGTTCCCCCGCCCGTAATGTTGTGGGGTCGAGCTATATCTTGAATAGTGCTTTTTCTTTTTCCCAAATTGCAATTTAACTTGGAGATTCTTCAAAATAAAAAAAAGTCCATGATTTGAGCGATGAACTTAAATTTGTACTGAAATATATTACCATCATGTTGTAAGCTTAACCCAATTTTCTTTGGAATTGGTGCATTTGGAACAACGATTAAATTATTAACAAAGGGTGTGAAAATAAAAATTGTGTCACAAGTTTGAAATACCAAAACTCGAAAAGGGTGACTAGGGTTTTATAGATGAGCGGAATTTTAAGATTTTCTTATAATTTGAAATAAATCAATTTTTATAATTCCTGAGATTTATCAGCAATTTAATTTTTTTTCCCTAATTTACTTATCTGAGTGATAAAGGTATCTATCTCAACTTAAAACATGTGCTGAGATATTTAGTGAATTATAATATCTTTTCGCAGGCCAGAAAGAAACCAAACAACAGGTGTACATCCTTTTGTTAGATCTTTTCAATGGGGAGTGACAATCGTGTCGAGTCGTGTTCTTGTCGAACACTAGTCAATCTTAATTCAATCCGATCCACTAATTATCTCGTGTTTGTATTGACATACATAACCCATGAATAAAAAAATTAACACTCAATTTTATGTCTAAAATTTTTTATTACTTAATCGAATCTATGCTCATACTTTTTTTATAAACTAAAAATTAACTTAATAAATATAATAATAAAAATGAATAAAAATATATATTTTTTAGACCTAAGGTGTATGAGTGTGAATTTGAAAATAAAAAAAAGGGTTAATTACAAGTTGCACCTTGAAAGATAGTTTGAATCTCAATTTAAACTCTCAAAGATTAAAAATCTCAATTTACACCCCCAAAGATCAAAAATCTCAATTTACACTCACAAAAATAGAAATTTGTATCAATGTGCACCCCCCCAAAGATAAAAAATCTCAAATTGCACCCTTAAAGATAGAAATTTGTATCAATGTGCACCTAAAATTAAATTAATAAATTATATCTAGATTCCCTCATGTTTGTCAGTTAATCATTTGGATTCCTTCACATTTAGAATATTACTCTTATATCTCATGGAGTTTGTGCATGTGTAACACATAACCCATTTTCGTTGATATATGTTAATATAACTGTTAAAAAAAATATGATTTTATCATAATAAAAAATTATAATTTTATATTACCCTTTATTTTGTGGGTCCGATATACTTTAAAGTTCGAAATCAAATTTATCATTTGAATGTTCAATAAAATGTAGATATTTATATAATATTTTTTTATATCCAATGCAATATATCACTCAATGTGCAACTCTTTATTCTATTAGATATTCAAATTGTAAGGTTGATTTTGAATTTTAGAGTATATTAGACCTATAAAATAAAGGGCAATATAAAATTATAATTTTTTATTATAATAAAATCGTATTTTTTAACGGTTATATTAACAGATATCAACGAAAAAGGGTTAAGTATTACACGTGCACAAACGTCATGAAATGTATGAGTAATATTTTAAATGTGAAGGGTCCAAATGATTAAGTGACAAGCATAAAAGGATTTAGGTATAATTTATCAATTTAGTTTTAGGTGCACATTGATACAAATTTCTATCTTTGAGGATGCAAATTGAGATTTTTTATCTTTAGAGGTGCACATTGATACAAATTTCTATTTTTAAATGTGCAAATTGAGATTTTTTATTTTTGGGGGTGCACATTGATATAAATTTTTATCTTTGAGGGTATAAATTAAAATTTTTGATCTTTGAGGGTACAAATTGAGATTTGAACGATCTTTCAGGGTATAATTTATAATTAACCCAAAAAAAAGAAAGAAAAAGAAAATGGTATATGGGCTTGGGCCTATATTTCCCTCGGCCTATAATGTGTAATCTGGGCCGGGCCAATGCCGACCAAGGTTGAATCACGTCCACTGGCGATCAAATTGTCCTTATCAGAAACCATCTTTTCATTATGACACGTGGGCTTCACATTTTGACCCCCACAAATCGAGATATGTTATTAATAATAATAATATCTCAAGCTTTGATTTTGCAGTACTATTAAAATTTATTGTTAAAAAGACCCAATAAAAAAAAAGAAATAAATTATTTTTTTCTTGAATTTTTCATGCCTTTTGTGTGACAGATGTGATTGTTATGGACAAATTCAGATGAAAATGACATAATAAATAAAAAATATGTATAAAAAACCCCCGAGTGGCTAAAGCCCTCCATGACATCAGATAATTAGAAATTGTTTCGACAAATAAAAGAAAAACACACGAATTATCAAAATAAAAAATTGTTGATCTTTGCTTGTTTTTCAAACTCTCACGGCTTGTGCGCACGTAACAATAAATTAGAAAAATTAATTAAATATTTGAGATAAGATTTTGTTATGCTAATTAAATTTCAATATGAAAAGGATAATAAGAACTATTTTTTGTATTTTCTTTTATAGTAAAGACATCATCAACAGTACCTCTTTTTACCTACTATGATATTATTAGAATTTGCTAATTTTCTTGGACACATAATCTACGTCCCACTCACATCAGACAATCAAAGTAGCAAAAATCTTTCTTTTGAGCTTCAAATTTTCTTTAACTTATTTTCATTTAATTAAACAAATGAAATTTTGAATAGCGAGATGATTTTTTTTATTTTTTTTTTGTCACAGTGTATAGAGGGGAGAGGGCTTGGTGACACTCAAACTTTATCAATAAGATAAGAGGAGCATGTATAGTTGAATATCTACGATAAATTAAAGTAAATGCGAATGAAAGGAATACACAAGGGTTTGGGGGGTTACCTGCATAGCTAAGAATCAATTTTCTCAACCCCCACCACACACACGCACACATACAACCTAGTTTTTTTTTTTTGCTTGTGAAAAGAGGGAGGACCAGTCAAAAATTCTATACTGTGTGACTTCTCAGAATTGAACTGTTTTTTCTGCCTGAAGCATTTAGGGTGGGCTATAAGACCAAAAAGGACGACCTTTAGCAATGTTAGTAGGCCATTCTCTTCATTTAGGTCAAGTAACTTCTAGTCTTGAATCTTTTTAAACATTATTGTTACTTTATATTTTACATTAAAAAAAATTAAAATAGAATGAAATATGAGACGAGCGCGAGTTACGCTTCTTCTTGTGTCAAAGTTCATAAGACCCGCCTACTAATAGAATTAAAAAGAAAGCTTGTTCCCTCCAACCCACATGAGGGTCTCCCCTTCCATAAAATATCTGATTTGAGTCATAATTCCTAATCAGACCAAGTAACAAACCCCGTTATTTTCATAAATCAAATCCTACTTGATAATTACATGAAAGACAAGAATGACCCTAAATAAGTAGAGCTTACTAGTAGATCATCAACTCGGGTGATAAATCCGAAAAATATTGTGTTTACTAAAATTTTTATTGAATTTTAAATTGGCATACAAAATTGAATAATTTTTGTTTTTTTAAGTAGATAGCATACAAAATTACTTGGCCAGATATGGGGAAGTCAGGTGCTCTTATGCTAACCACGCAAAAATGTTAAAAATGCCACACCCACCTGCGATTTATAGTGCTTGAATGTCACAACTTGAGCGAAAGTCGTCCTTATTCATTTATATATCAGTTAAATATGATTTATATATACACGAAATCGATATAATACGATTCATATTTAATAAATTAATAAATCAGTCCTGTGTAAATAAAGTATTTTTTGATATGAATCTACTAAGATCCAATTGACATGTGATGATACTTCATCACAAAAACAAATTAGATTGTATTGATCATCCATTGAAAGTCAGATTCAAAAGACTAAAAGCCATTGAACTAGGAAAGTTTGATGTGCGATACCAACTCCGGGTGTCCATGAGGGGATAGGTTTAGGACGACTTCATCGCTGGCTTTTTTTTTTCGTTTTTGGGGAGAGTGAGGGGAAAGAGGGACTTGAACCCTTAACTTTAAGAAGACAAAGTTTTGACAAGATAAGAAAAGTTGATTGATGCCCTAAAATTGACCCATGGGACTTGAAAATTATATGTGGACAGATCTTTTAACACTCGGGGAGCAGGAGTGAGAGTAGTCTTAACCAACCTAGATGACTCCACAGTCGAACAAGCAACCGAACTCAATTTTGAAGCAACAAACAATGAAGTTGAATACGAAATTATGTTGAAAAATTTGACCATTTGAAAATGGTTTATTAATGAAAAAAAAAATATTAGTTCACAATTATTCAAGATTGAGGTCACTTGTGCAATACATAAAAAGTGTTTATTTTTTATTGTGTTTAAAGTTTTTTTGGTCATGAATTGTGTTTAAAGTTAAATACCGTTGAAAAATAAGTGATTTATTATGCTTAAAAATTTAAAGGGAGAATTACACCTTGATCGTCTAAAATTTGTCACGCGTTTAGACTTTTGGCATCAATGTGTGTTGGTATATCTATTATTAAATTATATTCAGATTCCTTAAAATTTGTAGGTATGTATATTATATTTAAACCTTTTAAGGTTAAAATGTTATACTTAAACTAAAAATACTTCAATTAATGATAGAATATCAAATATATTAAATTTTACAAACAAACAATTAGGCTATCTATTGGAATTTAATTTGGTTGTCTAAATCACCAAATTANATTAAATTATATTCAGATTCCTTAAAATTTGTAGGTATGTATATTATATTTAAACCCTTTAAGGTTAAAATGTTATACTTAAACTAAAAATACTTCAATTAATGATAGAATATCAAATATATTAAATTTTACAACNATTTGTAGGTATGTATATTATATTTAAACCCTTTAAGGTTAAAATGTTATACTTAAACTAAAAATACTTCAATTAATGATAGAATATCAAATATATTAAATTTTACAACCAAACAATTAGGCTATCTATTGGAATTTAATTTGGTTGTCTAAATCACCAAATTAAACTACCAAGTTATCCTAATTAAAGTTAGAAAACATTGCATCCATTATAGTTTGACCTTTTGTTTAATTTTTTTACTTTTATTTTAATAGATAATATAATTATATACTAATTATGATTTTTTAAGAAAAAATTAGTTTTTAATTTAATTTAATTTTAATAAATGACATAATAGAATGTTCTATTATAAATGACTTAGACTCCTTGTTTAATATTTTTGTTTTATTCAAATAGATAATATAATTATATACGAAATTATGAATTTTTAATAAAAAATTAGATTTTTATTTTTAATAACATGAATTTTTATTGTAAAATTTAAAATATTTGATATTTTATCTTTAATTGAAATATTTTTGGTCTAAATATAATATTTTAAACTTAAGGGGTGTAAGTATTATACGCCTATAAACTTTAGGGAGGTTGAGTGTAATATATTAATAAATATATTAACAATAAGAGTCTAAGTGTTATGCGAGTAAAAGTTTTAGGGAGTCTGTATATAATATTTAAAATATTAGGGGATTTGAATAATCAAATGACAAACTTTAAGGGGTCAGAATATAATTCTCCCAAATTTAAAATACAAATAGTTAGATTTATTGTGATTGATATCCATCCGCTCTTGCCTTGTGGTGCTGCTACGATTCCACGCCTCTTACAAGGCGCGTTGCAGCAAGTTTCTCAGTTTAAACATCCCCTACCTCCTCTTCCTCTTCCCAGAGTGACCTCACTGCACCTCTCTCTGTCCCTCTACACCTCTCAATCTCCATTTTTTATTGCCATGTCATTATACATTAGTTACTTCTCTCTTGTTTTCTTCAGTTAGTTATGCATGACTAAGAAGATTTTTTGTTCATTTCTTCCTCTTTTGTCTCCTTTCACTCCAGACCCATTTCACACCACAAGTTCAGCATCAAACCCATTAACTTAAATCCTTACTTCTAATCATTTTGGATAATAATCATGGCCGAAATGGCTTGTCTCCATCTGGGTTTATTCCAAAACAGTATCAATCCCTTTGGTTCTTAGTTAAGTACCGTTTAGTTTGCTCCGAGAGGCGAAGAATCCCAAGATTTTTCTTGTTCTCAAAGAATTTTATAGAGAGTCAGAGACTACTACTTCATATTATAATCTGGGTTATTTATATAATCAGGATTTGATATTGCCTATTGTAAATTTGTGGAAAGGGTGGAGTAGTTGAGATTTGAAAGGTGACATTTACTGGAGCTGAAATTGTTTGGTCCGAAATCCATGTCTGTGTCTAAGTCATTCGGCTCAGAGATTATGCTTTCGAGCCCCTTTGTTAAATCAAGGGACGTGGTTGGTTTCAAAGTCTCTCCACCTCTGTGTTCTTGCAATGGTAATTTTCTGCTCCTAAAACTTGATTGATGACTTTGTACGTTTTTTTTTGCTTTTTTTTTTTTGGGTCAAGATGGTAATATTGTAGGAAGAAGACGGGAATGTTGGTCACTTACAAGGTACTACTTTTTTTGTTTTTGATGAAACTTACAAGGTATAACAATGGCTTCTATTCCAGGTTGCAGTAAAACTTCATACTTATCTTCATCTTTTTCCTCCAATTTTAGCAACCAAGCACTGAACTAATTGTTGCCCATCATTTGTCCTATATGAAAATATTTTATTATTTTGCAGTCATGCTTAGAGCTATTGGAGTTCTTTAATTTGAGCAATTGAGTTACAGTCTTTGGATCAAAATTTCGTTTCAAAACGGTCTAAACTATTGAAAGGTCTAGGTTTCCATGAAAATCGAAACAGGCTACTGATTGAAATTTGAAAATTTTATATTCAAGGTCTTTTGAGATATTTCAAATTACTTCGACCAATGTTTTGTAAACAAATTTCAAAACGTTTTTAAGTTTTTGCAAAACGTTTCTTCTCGTATATGATTGAAACAATGCACCAAAAAAAAATTTTAATCTTTGCTTTGATTACAACAAGGTTGAATTGTTTTCTGATATGGGCTGGGAACATATTCAAAATGTTGGCCAAATGCAAATGTATGATTGTTAGACAGAAACAATATTTTTTGGTTTTTTATGATGGTAAAGAAGTTACTTTTTCTCTCTTTTTGGGCAACAATCTATACCATTGGCTTGTTAGTGTTTTTTTTTTTCAATATAAAATCTGAATTCTACCAACTGCTGATTGCTGAATGTTTGGAGTTGCAAATTTTCTTTTAATTTATTTTTTCTTCTGTGGATTTTTGTATTCAGGGATTTTCCCTAAGGTTTCCTGTTCAAGTACTCCACAAAATGCTACTAGTTCAATTGCCCAAGAAAAGTTTCCAGTGGATACTTTTTTGTATCAAATCACTGGAACAGATGGTGTGAGTTCAAACTTGTATTTTAGGTATACAAGAGTACTTGAGGCAATTGATGATGAGTATGATGGAGTTATTGTCAATTCCGAAAGATTACCATCTAATTCAAATGTCTTTGCCACTAAACTCCGTTCGTCTCTTTCTCACTGGAGAACTAAGGTAGTTCATCTTCATATGTTTCAATAGGTTTTTTTTTTTCGTATTCTTTTCCTGGTAAATAAGAGTTTAAGGAATCGAAAAGGAGTGAATCCATGTACAGAAGGGGTATACCCCAGGTAAAAACAATTGTTTACATTTGACCAACAAAGACGATACAAGTTTAGGAAGCAAAACATGTACAAAACACATGTTTGGAAAATCTTCTAAATGGCTCACAAATCAAAGAAACAATTCATGTTCAAAGACGGATCTCCTAAACAATAGCCATTGAACTTGATAATTGCATTTTCTTCATAAGGGGACCAAAAGAGATTTATTCTGATGCAGAGCTCTTAAACAAGTGTATATGATTGGCTTCTTAAGGACACCCTTTTTGGCATATTGGAGAATAATTACCATATCAAACATGTTTCTTCAGATGCTTGGACCTGTATTTTTGACTGTTCTTCACACGAAACATGTTTATTCCATTCAAATGAAATCTGTATATTTTTTTCCTGGGAAGATGAACATCTGAATTAGGACACCTCAGTTTATTGCTAAATTTTGGTGTATCCACATGGTGAATGTTTTCAGATTTTGTCTGAGCTTGTTATCACTAGAATGAAAAAAATACTTTAGTTCGGTGTTCTGCTTCTGGTTTTTCAGCCAACTATTTATTTTATGTCCACCAAGCTGCAAGCATTATAATCAAATTTTGGCACAAATACACCAGATCCTTTTCTGATTTCTCAGGTTTATATTTATTGTCACGGTAATTATTGAATGTAGGGAAAGAAGGGAGTTTGGCTTAAGCTGCCCCTGGAAAAATCAGAACTCGTTCCCGTCGCAGTAAAGGTAGATTAACCTATATATAACCCTTTCAGATTGAACTAGTGGCATAAGCAACTTATGTTTGAACCTCCTCCATTTAAATAATGCAAGATGTCACTAAATAACCAAGAAATTGCATATATACATGATTCATTTGTACTGAACACCAGTTTTTCCACTCGTTGGTTTTATAGTCCATAAAGATGCTGTCTCTAAATTAATGACTTGACTATAGGAAGGATTTAAGTACCACCATGCAGAAAGAGGATATGTCATGATGACATACTGGATTCCTGAAGGACCTTGCATGCTTCCTGCTAATGCTTCTCATCATGTGGGGGTTGGGGCTTTTGTTATCAATGACAGAAATGAGGTATGCATGCTTGTGTTGACATTGTGGGAATGAGAATGAACAAAGTTGTGAAACTTAAATTGTCATTCTAGAGGCAAATGAAACTGCAGTCACACTTTTGTTTGATGAACATGTTTAGGGCATTTTTCTCTCTATACTTTTAACTGTTGCCCACTAATAGTTCCGGAGTAATTGAAATTTTTCCTCTGTTTATTTTGGTTTAAATAAGTGCAGAATTTGTTCATTAGTCGTATGGTACCATAGAGAATTATTCAGTGACATTTTTTTTCCATGGCCCGGACTCGCTCAATGGAATCTAGAGCTTTCAGGGCCAGACTGCCAGTAGTTTGACATACCTTCCACTTAGCCATGGGTTAAATTGGTCTAATGGACCCATTATCGTGCAAAAACCAGTCAGCTTAGATGCATACGTCTAGATTCTGGTCTGTTTGAGTTATTAGACTTCATAGCATTTCCCATAGAGAAGCTTTGCTTTGCATTTTTGTGTCTACTCTTACCTTTAAAGAACACAATTCCCTGTTCTGTTTCTTTTGTTTTCTATGAGGGGAAGCAAATCAATCATTGAACTGCTTATTTCTGTAAGCAACCTTGAGGCTACACCTTTTCACTGTTCCTTAGAAAAACATCCTGGTGGCATTTTGCTTATGGCACATACGAGGCTAAAGAAACAATTTGGTTCAAGTGATTCAATAATATGACTTTAGTTGCATTACATGTGCCAGTGTTAATTTCTCATCTCAGAGACCTGTAATTCTAATTCCAACATTTCTGATTACATGCGGCAGGTGCTTGTTGTACAAGAGAAACACTATGCCCCGGCACTTGTTGGCCTTTGGAAAATACCAACGGGTTATATTAATGAGGTATGTTTTTTTCCCCATTGAACTCCAACCTCATTATTTTTGGATGCTTCCAAGATCCTAAATATCATATCAAAGTTATCCATTTATTTACTTTTGAACTTATTTCATGTGTGCAATAAATTAGTCAGAGGAGATCTTTACGGGAGCTGTTAGAGAAGTTAAGGAGGAAACTGGTGTAAGAGCTCCACACTTATTTGATGATTATTCAGACTTTTGGCAATCTAGAGCGTGTGATCAAACTTTTTGAAAAATTTTGACTCTAATTGTTTTATGGTTCAGATTGACACTGCATTTGTGGAAGTTATAGCTTTCAGGTAATATTACTATGGCTTTTCATACTAAGGAATATGGGTTCAAATGAACTAAGGTCATATGGAATTTCTTACTTGACATATAATTTCGATATCAGCATTGTTTACAGTGAAGGAAAATTCTTAAGCAATAACTGGATGAATGGGTCTCACAATCTCACTTACACACTATATTATCCTATCTGTGTTCACTAAGTATGGGCTGAATGCCTTTTTTGCACCAGCTTTTGGGCCTTACTTGACCAAAATTACGTTCTTTTATTTAGTTAGCTTAGCTTTAATTTCTTCAGTGTAATGTCAAAATAGTCAAAAAAATTAGTGCTTATAAGTTTTAATTATAGCAAGGGTGGCATACATTAACTTTTAAACTTTTAGATAGATGGTGCTTAGGGATTTTGATAATCTACTACTCCTAATCCTGATAAAAATATAATCTCCAAATCCAATATCATTGATTTTTCACATGCTTTCGATGTATCAAATTCCAGGCATGCTCACAATGTGGATTTCGAAAAGTCAGATTTGTTCTTCATTTGCATGTTGAGACCCCTCTCGACGCAGATCATGATTGATGACCTTGAAATTCAAGCAGCTAAGGTAAGTACGACTCGCCTCACAGAAAGGTGCTCTTTTCTTTTACAACTCTCCATATTAGTAAATGTTATTTTAAGCATTTTACTGAAGGTACAGTGCAATATAAATGGTGTTGGGAGAGATGTTTGTGGCCGTTGGATGAGTTTGTTTCAAACCGTCGGATAAACTTATTGAAACCTGTCATGTTTTATATTATAAATATTTCTGAATAATTTCCTGGGTACCACAATGCAGTGGATGCCTTTGGATGAGTTTGTAAAGCAGCCGCTGATCCAAGGAGACTGCATGTTTAAGAAGATCGTTGATATTTGCATTGCGCGGCTAGGGAAGCGTTACTGTGGATTATCCTTTCATAACCTGGTTTCCAAATTTGATGGGAAACTATCTTCCCTGTACTTTAACATAGTTGAGTCTCAAGATTCCAATTGTCAAGCCAATTAAAAATCGCTCGATCACCAGTCCTATTGCTGATGCTGTTTCTTCATGATAATTTTCTGCTCTCCTTTCCCCTTCTGTTTAAATGGTAGAGGTGTAACGGCGTATATAGTCTCACTGTTGACATTCTTAACACCAGTTGTTCGTGTTCTACAAGTGATGTACATGTATCATCAGAGGTGTTACAATTGTATTTGTTTGTGTTGTGTATTATATAGAATGTGGTGGCAACTGTACATGTCTCATGATAAGGATGTCTAACCTAGCCTCCTCAGATGAAGATAGAAATCTTTGGGTATGGCATCTAAACACTTCTATCTTGCTGTTTGTTTGAATTGATTTGTTACCTTATTAATGAGACTTCTTTCGATAAAACTAGGAATATATTGAACTATGTAATGTTGTAAGAACGTGATAGGTTCCTTTTTTAGAATTATACACAATGCTCTTATGGCAATAATTATGAATAGTCATCGATTGACCTCCGGCGCAAAAGGGTAAATGAATGAGACTTATTAGGGGACTTTCAATTTGTTACAAACATATGATCATTATGCTTCAACCCAGTTATTTTATTTCACCTCTATAGTTGACCATTGAGCACTGCTACTAGAGGGCAATTATGTGGAGGGTGATGTTCTAGAGAAATTGTATTAGTCTAGTGCACTATGGTCACGCCTGGTTCAGTTGGAGAAGTCTACCGTACCCAGAAAAAATACGTACCTTACTTTTAAATTTTACAATTTTAATGGATGCTGTTATATTTTTTGCGCGTCATTTTACAAAAAAAAAAAAATTACAAATTTTGTGAGTGATTTATAACTTTATAGGTGCTATGATGGATTGCAATTTATCACAAAATTGGTAAAAACAGTTTATGAAAAAGAAAGTGATAAAAAATACCTATAAAAATTATAAAAATACCCATAAAAATTATCAATAACGATACGATACCAATATTATTTTTCCTTTCTTAAGTCATCAACGGCGATATAGGTGAGATAGAATAACCCGTTGACAAAAGAGTGATTATGTCATGCTTGGTTTTTTAATTTATAACCAAACCACCATAGATCTAGATTCTCTCAAATATATTTCTTAAATTTTTAAAGACAAACTATCACTTGTAGATTAAGGATGATGTTACTTGAATTAAGTGGTATCTAAGATGGGGAGTTAACTACGGTATCAATTTCTTTTTTTTGGTATAATATCTTCATTTATTATATTTATGTGTATTTTTATTCCATTAAAATCATAAAAATTAGAGGTACATTACTAAAATATTTTCTACTGTACAGTAGTGAAGACCCTGAGATGGTTTAGAACGTCCACGAGACACTGCCAAATCATCAAAATCATATTCGCAGAGAAAATATTCAATACTTGTCAGGTACCAGGTTGTCATTGACAATCGGTACTCATCACCAATCAACAACTACCATCTTAAGGTAGGTAGTGGAGAGAGAAAAATTGAAAGAAAATCTATTTTGAGGTGGCAGCTCTTGATTGGTAATAAGTACCAACTATCAATGACAGCTTGATACCTATCAATAACAAAATATGAGGTGGCAATTATTGATTGATGATGAATATCAACTTTCAATAACAGTATGGTACCTGTTAAGTACTAAATATTTTCTCTCTATCCATGTTCACATTTGTTCTTTTGTCTGAAGATTTTTTTTTTTAACCTTTTTGTGTTAAGATTAATGAATGTGTATAGGACTATTTATGGTACTAAATAAATAGTCAACAACTATGAAAGAATAAGAAAAGGATATCTTCTAATCTACCTCGATAAATGATCATTCTATGATGACAATGACATGAGCTTGAATAATAAAATACTAATAAATACTAAAATAACAGAAAACGGTCTGTCTTAACATCTCAAGACAAATACGTGTACAAAATGAAGGCATCTCTAAGTACTAAACATTTGAAAAAAAAGGTCGAGATAGTTGGAAATAATTCTGTGCACACACACTGCCCACAAGAGTCGAATCAGATTTGGATTTTATCTTACACTTAGGATTAGGGATAACAATCACGTCTGATTATATCATATTTTTGCGGGGTCATTTTGAATTCGTATCAATTACTAATCAACTTTAATTTAACTCGTTCAATTAATCACTTCAACCTATTTATTTTTATATTATATTTATATTAACCAATATAATTTGTGAATAAAAAATTTAACGCTCAATTTTCTGTCTAAAATTTTATTATCACCTAATTAAATCTATTTTATACATTTTTTATAAGCTAAAAATTAATTTAATAAATATAATAATAAAAATGAGTAAAACTATTTTTTTTATTTTAAGAATAAAGTTACTACTTAATAAAAATTGGTAATTTATTATTATAATACTACTTAAACATGTTAATAGTGTCAATTTGTTCGTGTTTGATCCTAATACAACTCATTTATTATTTGTGTTAACGAATTGTGTCATATTCAAATTCGTATCAAGAAATGATCAATCCTAATCCGTTAATTTCATGTTAATTTCGAGTCAAGTTTTCGTGTTGTGTATAAAATTACCATCATTGCTGATAATCAAATAAAAATAAGATGATGGATCACCTTGAACTTTTTTATTTTGTTTTAAAGGACAATGAAAAAAAAGTAACTATTTAGGGACAAACTGAAATCTTTTGTTTATGGGCAAAATTGAATTTTCCCTATTTATTTAAATCCGCACACACAATTAAAAGTCTGACTTTTCAACTTCCTCCAAAAGGAGAACCCTTTTTTTAAGTGCTCAATGTCCGCATCTCTCTCTCTCTCGCTCTCTCTCTCTCTGATCCGAGCTCGACACCACGCTCCTCTGGGTAAGGTAGGGTATTCTAACTTAAATCTCTGTAAACTCTCTCTGTCTCTCTCTTTCTACAAACATATACGTTTATATATTTGTGTGTATGGAATTCTGCAAGTTATAACTAATTTTCAGACTCTCTTTATCTCATGCGCGTGGGATTTTCGTTTTGGAAATGGAATTGGAGCAAGACCAATTCACATTTGCCCAAATTTGCAACAACTTTTCCTGAATTCAAAATTTTTCTTTTGATTTGGCCTCAATTTCCAGTTCAAAACTTCAATTCCATGCTTCCTGACGCAGAATTTGGCTCATTAACTAGGGTATTATCTGTCTTCATATCTATTTTAATTTTTTTGAAGTTATAACTATATATTAATAGTCGACTATTCGGCAGCTGATTTTTTTTTTTAATTTTTGTTGGTTCTCTATAAAGATGCTGAGCTCGCGATAGGAGAAATTCATTCACTGGAGGGGGGTGGTGGTGGGTAGATATGCGGTTGTTTCCATTGAGCTCGAGTTCGTCGAAGGAGCAGCGTAAAGGAGGCAAAAGTCGTGCTTTATTGTATCTCAATATATATGATCTCACACCTATAAACAATTATCTTTATTGGTTCGGCCTTGGGATCTTCCATTCGGGTATAGAAGGTACACTAATTTCATTTTTCTTTACTGTTGATCACGCTAAAAATTATTGTTTTCGTATATATAACTTTGAACTTCATTGGAATTTTGATTTTTCTGAGTTCGACAACGTCAAAAGTCATTTTGTTTATAGAGTCAGAGTAGTTCTGAGTTTTGAGTCACGGGAAACAATTAGTTGTGTAAATTTCGTGATTATAATTTATTTCCTAGGAATATTGTTCTACATGATATTTTGTGTCTTATATGCCGTATTGAGACATTATTATAACTGGAGATGGCAGTAGAATAAAAATCTTATAATGGTCATTGAAAGTGGTTGCACATTCATTCATGTTCAGACTTCTTAGAATTGGCAACATTAGAGAATTATGAGGTTGTGTATAGTTTACCCTCCCCAAACCCCGCAGTGGGCCAAAGCCTCGTGCACTTGACCGCTTTTTTTTTTTTTTTTTTGAGAAAACTGAGACACTAAAAGGGAGGTTTTTCCAAAGTCTATAATGATGTGGAGCATTCTAGACTTTATATCTAGGATACTGAAATTGCTTTTCCAAAGTAACTGGAAGTGTATGGGGAGGATATTACAATGTCAAAAGGGAGGTTCCACTGGTAAAATTTTGCGGGCATCCAGCTACATCATGTAAAAAGCTTTCAGTAAGAGATAAGTGACTGCGTAAATTCTTTCATCATATTTATTTTAACCTTTCAGTTTCCGTCCTACAAAATAGACATTGTCATCACTACAGCTCCATTTGATTCTTAGTATTTTTATAGATCTTTTAATTTTTATTTTTGGCATATTGTTGCATCTGGCTTGAAGACTAATAAAATGCTGATAACAAGCCATCTGGTGCCTACCAGAGTGTTCAACACTGATACTTTGGTTCTAAACACACTGCTTAAATTCAGTGTTATTGTTATTAGTTGCACTTGGCACCCATTTGGAGTCGTGGATTACAACATCATCTAACAGATTGTGATTGACAAACTTATGAGGGCACCTGAACTTGAGATATCTTGCAGACCACAGATAAACCACATACTTTTTCACAAGATATGAAGCCTCTTGGATAATCATTTTGTGCGGCAGTATTACACTGTGCTTCCACCTACTCTTCTCTTTTATCATTTATTTCCTCATTAGCTTAATGTCCTTCTACTTGGTTTGATACATAGTACATGGTTTGGAGTATGCATTTGGAGCCCATGAGTACCCAACCAGTGGGGTGTTTGAGGTGGAACCAAGAAGTTGCCCTGGTTTTATCTTCAGGCGATCAGTGCTTTTAGGCAGCATCGACATGTCTCCTTCAGGATTTCGGTCTTTCATGGAGCATCTTTCTGGAGAGTATCACGGGGACACATATCATTTGATTGCCAAGAACTGCAACCATTTTACTGATGAAGTCTGTATGCGTCTTACAGGGAAGCCCATTCCTGGATGGGTAAATCGAATGGCCCGATTAGGTAAGAGAGAAGATCGTTGTTTGCATTTCTAATTTACATAGTGAAAGAGAAGTTTCCGGGATGTTTTTGTAGTTTTTAGAGTTGGTATGTCATTCTAGATAATTTGGAGATGAAGGAATTCACAGACTTGTTAGGCCCGTGATTAATCTTTTGGATTCTATCTTATCCTGTGCACTTTTGAATTTCAGGTTCTTTTTGCAATTGTCTATTGCCGGAAAATTTTCAGGTTACAGCCGTCAGACATCTTCCCGATCATCAAGCGTATTCTGGTAATGGTTTTTAATTTTGTAGTATAACTCTGTTGCAGTTCACTATTGTCATTCAAATATAACCAGATCATGTGGTTTGGAACTAGTGACACATTCTTTTTTTTTTTTTAATTGAAATCTAACAACCACCTTGCATGGCTGCATAACCACCACCCTCCCCCACTCATAATAGGCTGCCAACCCCGGTGGCAAAACCTCCCTGCACCCCAACTTCCCCCACTCCGCTTTCCCAACTCTAGGTAGAACCCTCACCACCAATGGCAGAACCATCCACCCTTGCAAACCCCTTGGGCAAAATGCACCCCACCCACCTTGTAATCCCCCATCCCACCCTGATAGAAACCTCCCACCTCTGTAACCTATGAACCACCACCACCAATAGCACAACTACTACCAGGTCAACTACAAATCGAATCCAACTCTATGTTTGAATGTAAGTCAAAATCAAAATCTGTAAAATTCAAGTACAAAATTCGAGTATCTAATTAATCAATCTCAAAATAGTTGGAACATAGGTTGAGGAGGACAAATGGGTACTCTACCACCGCTGTCATTTCACAAGCCACAGCCACCAAAGCACCTCCACCACATCCATCCGACAAACGCCCTATGTAAGAACCTCCCTACCTTCGACAAACCCCCCACCATCACAAAACACCCCCCCTGCCGAAACCCTAAAAAAACCACAAACAAAAGAAGAAGAAGAAGAAGTGTAAGAAAAAACTAGTGTAGAGATAATGGAAGAGGATGGATTGGGGTAAATAGGGGATATTTAGTAATTAAAAGAAATTATAGGAGTATTTTCATTTTTTCCATGACAATTTGGCAGAAAACAACTCTTCTTCATGCCTATCTGCCAAATAGGCATGTCTTAATACCATTAAGTGTGATGGAAATTTTAAAGGTTTGCACATAGGTCCAAACCACATAGGGTTATGTTGTTTTATTTGAATGGCAGGTGATGAAGTAAAAATTGGAAAAACCACATTTAGGTAAAATGATCCTCATTTAAAGTTATTTTTTATTCTTCTTGTTTAATATGGGCCAGATAAAATTGGAAAGATCCAAAACATCGACATGTATCATATGTTGCTATAAACAGTGAGCTTAATAAAGAACAAAGAAAACAAATCGTGCAAACAAAACATGAACTACGCTTTTATTAATGAAAGTGAAACGTTGATCCCCCTGTGGGATTGATTATCATGCTTTATTGTTAATCTTGTNATTTTTTATTCTTCTTGTTTAATATGGGCCAGATAAAATTGGAAAGATCCAAAACATCGACATGTATCATATGTTGCTATAAACAGTGAGCTTAATAAAGAACAAAGAAAACAAATCGTGCAAACAAAACATGAACTACACTTTTATTAATGAAAGTGAAACGTTGATCGCCCTGTGGGATTGATGATCATGCTTTATTGTTAATCTTGTCAAAGTGCCACCTTTTGACTCAGATAAAATTGTTAAACCACTCTTCTTGAAGGATATAACTTGCAGAATTATGATACTTGTTGATAGTAGCCATATGAAAAAGTGTGGTGATAATTTATAGGGGTAATTACAATGAATCTCCCTTTAGTTCATATTAATTTCACATCACTCTGCTCAACTTTCATTTGTGATACTCAAACCCTGAACTAGTGACTCGGTGCAAACCATGACAGAGNTCAGATAAAATTGTTAAACCACTCTTCTTGAAGGATATAACTTGCAGAATTATGATACTTGTTCAAAGTAGCCATATGAAAAAGTGTGGTGATAATTTATAGGGGTAATTACAATGAATCTCCCTTTAGTTCGTATTAATTTCACATCACTCTGCTCAACTTTCATTTGTGATACTCAAACCCTGAACTAGTGACTCGGTGCAAACCATGACAGAGCAGGCAGTTTGGGTATAATATCCATAATGTCTCCTATTTGTCATTCATTTTTCTTTGTAATGCCCTTATTCCTTTCTACCTTCTATAATCTCTCTTTTTTACTTTCTTAGAAAGCTACCTCTCTCTCTAAAGAGGAGCATAAAATTAAGGAATTATGACAAACCAATGCATGAAAATTATTTATTGGTTCACCTTAGTATTCAATAACAAGAAGCATTCATCCAAGCACAAGTCCTCTCAAAGACCAATCNTGCCCTTATTCCTTTCTACCTTCTATAATCTCTCTTTTTTACTTTCTTAGAAAGCTATCTCTCTCTCTAAAGAGGAGCATAAAATTAAGGAATTATGACAAAACAATGCATGAAAATTATTTATTTTTAATTGACATACCAAGTTGATCCATTTTCTCCCCACAAACACACATGGAAAAAAAAAAAAATTCCTATTGCTCATTTTGCCTCCCTAATCTCTTTCTCTGTCTGTGACTCACTCTGGTTCTCTTCACCATACCCAGTTGACCCATGCTTTGGCTATGCGACTTCTCTTCCCAGTCTTGCTTTGGTTCACCTTAGAATTCAATAACAACAAGCATTCATCGAAGCACAATTCCTCTCAAAGACCAATCGCAATCATCTCCAAAGAACTCCAAGAGATCCAAATCAACCCATCTCACGCCCTACCTCACTGCATCCCAAAAAACCCCAAGCTCCAATTCTTGACCCCTCACACAAATCAAACCCGTTAGTTTAGCTAGAACTAACAGGCAAGCTTTGTTTGTTGAGGATGAAAATCCAATTGGGCACCATGGAAAGTACAGAGACTGGGAAGGGACATTGGATTTCTTATGTGAAGTGTGTTTGAGGTGATTGGTGAAGCTGGATGTTGCAGTGGGACTCTGGTGGTAGAGAAAAAGAAAGAAATGAAGATGGTGNAACTAACAGGCAAGCTTTGTTTGTTGAGGATGAAAATCCAATTGGGCACCATGGAAATTACAGAGACTGGGAAGGGAAATTGGATTTCTTATGTGAAGTGTGTTTGAGGTGATTGGTGAAGCTGGACGTTGCGGTGGGACGCTGGTGGTAGAGAAAAAGAAAGAAATGAAGATGGTAGGTATGGCAATGGCCAATGGGGCGCCGACGTTTTGGGGCTGGTGAGCATGGCCATGGGCTATGATTGAATGTGGGTCTGGGTACTTGGTGTTGATTTGATAGCAGGTACTGGCAATGCTTTGGTGGTGAAAAGTGGAAATGAAGAAGAGGAATAAGACGATTAGAAATGTGAGGAAAAAAATAAAGGGAAAATAGAATTTTACATGTTAAAAATGAAATGAAAATTGCCTTTGTGCAACCCAACAAAGTCTTAATGGTGAGTCCATTACATTTGCAACAGTTATCTTGGACAGCNGTGGTGAAAAGTGGAAATGAAGAAGAGGAATAAGACGATTAGAAATGTGAGGAAAAAAATAAAGGGAAAATAGAATTTTACATGTTAAAAATGAAAAGAAAATTGCCTTTGTGCAACCCAACAAAGTCTTAATGGTGAGTCCATTACATTTGCAACAGTTACCTTGGACAGAAAACTTGACAATTGTATTTTAGTCATTAGTTCAGGGGGGTTAGTATTGCAATTCACAAATGAAAGTTGGGGAGGGAGATGCAAAACTGGCCCAAAGTACAAAGAGATTTTTTGTAATTACCCCTACTTCACATCGAGTAATATTTTAAATAACCCACCACTGCCGCTGGAAGCGAGAAAAATAAATAAAAGTATAGGTTTATTCTATTTCTGACTTCTTTTCTTCACCACTGATCCCAATGGTAATTGAAAACAGATGATGGGTCAGAATCAGCAGTGTCATCTGTAACAGCAGTGAGTGAAGAGGAGGAGCTGGATCATCACCTGCTTGCGGCACCCAACAGCGATGTGGCATTTCTGAAGGAAAAACCAGTGAGGCTAGCAAAAGAGTTCCTCTAACTACTATTTTTTTCTTCCCCTGCAATCTGTTTACTTCCTGTTGTTTGTAATAGTAGTGCGTAAGCACAAATGTATTCTTAAACGTGTTATTTTTNGTAACAGCAGTGAGTGAAGAGGAGGAGCTGGATCATCACCTGCTTGCGGCACCCAACAGCGATGTGGCATTTCTGAAGGAAAAACCAGTGAGGCTAGCAAAAGAGTTCCTCTAACTACTATTTTTTTCTTCCCCTCCAATCTGTTTACTTCCTGTTGTTTGTAATAGTAGTGCGTAAGCACAAATGTATTCTTAAACGTGTTATTTTAATTGAATGGTTTGAGTTCCTCAGTATTGGTTTCCTGGTACAATGTTGATGCCCAAGACTTCGCCTTGTTTGTATTTATATCATTATATTTAACTCTTCCTGGAGTTCATAATATAGCATAAATTGCTCCTTTATAGTTCGTTTATTGGTGTTTTCACATTCAGAAGGAATGTCTTATTCTGGTATCTGATTATCTCCTGGNCATTTTTTCATCCAATAACAGCTAAATGAGTTTTTTTTTGTTTAACACTATCTGAACCTATTATTATTATTCATGTTAATACTTGCCATTTTCATGTTACAAAAATAGTTAATCTTAACTNCGCCTTGTTTGTATTTATATCATTATATTTAACTCTTCCTGGAGTTCATAATATAGCGTAAATTGCTCCTTTATAGTTCGTTTATTGGTGTTTTCACATTCAGAAGGAATGTCTTATTCTGGTATCTGATTATCTCCTGGACGTTTAGACTATCTTGGGGAAAAAAGGAGAAGAAAAAGTTTGGACTTTTCTATGCTTGTGGCAAATTTGTGATTATAGGAAGCAGATTCCCGCCTTGTAAGCTTACTACTTGTATTGTAGATGCATGCATATGGATTTCTGTCTATAAAAAGTTTAGAGAAAATGTCGTCTAATGTTATCATTNACCATCCTAACTTTCATGGGCCTCTAAAATCAGAGCTTCTGGCAAAATTTCTTACGGTGTTGTATTCCCTTGGTGATATTTGATTAGCAGGTTCTGCATTATCTAGAANAGATTCCCGCCTTGTAAGCTTACTACTTGTATTGTAGATGCATGCATATGGATTTCTCTGTCTATAAAAAGTTCAGAGAAAATGTAGTCTAATGTTATCATATTACATATTTGTTTTATGCTGTGATTTCCGTCTCCCATCAACAAGCCAAATGCAACAGGACAAATCTGTATAGCTGACTCTGGAGAAGGTCATCTGGACACAGTAGCACTTGAGGATTCATTGGGGAGAGAGAGATAGAGATCCAGATTCATCATTTCATTCACCGGCATCCCCTGAGTCTCTCCAATTAAAAGATGAGCGACGATACATGTCGTGTCTGTGATCAACTTCTCATTTCAGATGTGATCTACGGTTGTACAGAATGTGATTTCTTCATGCATCGCTAGTGTGCAGAATTTCCGCCAGAAGTAAGACATCCCTTTCACCCGCACTTCACCCACACCACACNGTTGTTTGTAATAGTAGTGCGTAAGCACAAATGTATTCTTAAACGTGTTATTTTAATTGAATGGTTTGAGTTCCTCAGTATTGGTTTCCTGGTACAATGTTGATGCCCAAGACTTCGCCTTGTTTGTATTTATATCATTATATTTAACTCTTCCTGGAGTTCATAATATAGCGTAAATTGCTCCTTTATAGTTCGTTTATTGGTGTTTTCACATTCAGAAGGAATGTCTTATTCTGGTATCTGATTATCTCCTGAACGTTTAGACTATCTTGGGGAAAAAAGGAGAAGAAAAAGTTTGGACTTTTCTATGCTTGTGGCAAATTTGTGATTATAGGAAGCAGATTCCCGCCTTGTAAGCTTACTACTTGTATTGTAGATGCATGCATATGGATTTCTCTGTCTATAAAAAGTTCAGAGAAAATGTAGTCTAATGTTATCATATTACATATTTGTTTTATGCTGTGATTTCCGTCTCCCATCAACAAGCCAAATGCAACAGGACAAATCTGTATAGCTGACTCTGGAGAAGGTCATCTGGACACAGTAGCACTTGCGGATTCATTGGAGTGAGAGAGATAGAGATCCAGATTCATCATTTCATTCACCGGCATCCCCTGAGTCTCTCCAATTAAAAGATGAGCGACGATACATGTCGTGTCTGCGATCAACTTCTCATTCAGATGTGATCTACGGTTGTAAAGAATGTGATTTCTTCATGCATCGCTAGTGTGCAGAATTTCCGCCAGAAGTAAGACATCCCGTTCACCCACACTTCACCCACACCACAACCTCACGCTTCTTGATGAAGCCCCTAATGACTCCGGAGTTTTTAGGTGCAATGCCTGTGGGAAGAAGAGTTGCTACTTCACCTTCCACTGCTGTGTGTGTTGATTTGATCTGGACATCAACTATGCTGCTCTGATGCTGGCCAAAAATCAGAAAGACCAGGTGCACCAAATCAACCACATCCATCCCTTGAGTCTCTGAAAAAAGGAACTGTTTCGATTTTTCCTGTTCTTGCTGTGAGCTACCATTTGAGGGGCGATCCATTTTCGTTTGCCTTCAATGCCAGCGCTTGCTAGACATAACATGTGCTGGTTTGCCACTAGAAATTGAACACCGGTTTCACCCAGAACACCCTCTCACCCTCCACCTTTTGCCACCTAAAGAACCGTTCCAGTGTTGTGCCTGTGGCCTGTTCAGCCATGACTTGACCTACCTCTGTTCCCGGTGTGAATTTCACCTGGACATCCATTGTGCTTCCTTGATGCCCACAACCAAAATTCCGAACCCAAACTACAGCACCAGATTCAAGAACTTAGCCATCCCCATCCATTGATTCACTGTGACAATATAAAGAATTTTCCTCATTCTTGCTTTGGTTGTGGGCTACCCTTCCAGGATTCAATCCATGTCTGCCTTCACTGCCGCATTTTGTTGCATAAATCGTGTGCTGAACTTCCCCGTGAGATCGCCCATCCTTGTCACCCGCAACACGCTCTCACCCTCTTCAAAAGTCCATCGAATTATCGCTCAAGAACAAGATTCAGATGCACAGCTTGTGATTATCGTTCCAATGGTTTCTTCTACAAATGTGGGGAGTGTGCATTCTACTTGGACCTTAAATGGGCTTTGACATTGCCCTCCTTCACAAAGTCCGAACCCTATCATCACCCTTTTGCTTTCTTCAACATCATAGTCCATAGATTTCGTTCCGTTGCATGTCGAATGTCCCGCCATACTCCTTTCTTCCGCTGTGTAGCTTGCAATTTCAATCTCCATGTCCATTGCAATCCAACACTACCATCTTCAGTCTGCCATAAATGTCATATACACTCACCTATGCTCCCATTAAAGACTATCTTGATGAAGATACTGCAATGCTTGTGAGCAACACAGACGCCTAGTTGATCCTTATTATTTCTGTGCAGAATGCCATTCTGTTGCTCATGTTCATTGTGTGATATTTGAGGTATACTCGCATTTCTTTTCACATGCAATCTGCTAACTACGTCACCTTTCTTGTCCTACCGATTTTGGCATTCGTGTCAAGCACCAGGTCATCCAACTTGTTATTAATCATGTCATTTCGGATTGACAGGCATAATTCCCAAATTTTGAAACAAAGGATTAGGGCACTCTTCTCTCAACCAGACCCACCATCTATAAATTCCCACAAACTAAAAATTTGTTTGATCCATGTACTACCAAAACCAAATATAAAATTCGGACATTTTTTCATCCAATAACAGCTAAATGAGTTTTTTTTTGTTTAACACTATCTGAACCTATTATTATTATTCATGTTAATACTTGCCATTTTCATGTTACAAAAATAGTTAATCTTAACTAGTTAATTTCGTATCCAGCCGGAAACTACCATCCTAACTTTCATGGGCCTCTAAAATCAGAGCTTCTGGCAAAATTTCTTACGGTGTTGTATTCCCTTGGTGATATTTGATTAGCAGGTTCTGCATTATCTAGAAAGAGAGTCGTCCTCGGCTCTACGAGTTCACAATTCAGCATTGGACTTGGATTCACTAAGAACAGTTGTTGAAGATGATGCAGGGACTGAACTTGATGAAGAGATAGCAATGCTTCAGACGGAGTTAGAAGCAGCAACAATAGAATTAGAGGCACTAAGAAGAAGATTAGATAAACTCAATGAGGGACGCAACGGGTTATATCTGCAACACCAGGCAGGCAGCTTGTCAACAGATCGAATTTTAATTGATCAAAATCTGATGCAGAAAAGCAAGCTTATAACAAACGAAAAGGGTATAATCAGACCAAACTGTTGATTTATGCACAAAAATCGGTTTAAAATTCTACTCTGATTTCGTAGAATACCAGTATACTAGTCTTAAGAAACGAAATGAGAAAAAATCCTAAATGAATAAAAAGAATATTTTTTTTAAAATTTTAAATTAAACTAAAAAATAAAATAAATCTTCTAAAATAAAATANAAAAATCAGAAAGACCAGGTGCACCAAATCAACCACATCCATCCCTTGAGTCTCTGAAAAAAGGAACTGTTTCGATTTTTCCTGTTCTTGCTGTGAGCTACCATTTGAGGGGCGATCCATTTTCGTTTGCCTTCAATGCCAGCGCTTGCTAGACATAACATGTGCTGGTTTGCCACTAGAAATTGAACACCGGTTTCACCCAGAACACCCTCTCACCCTCCACCTTTTGCCACCTAAAGAACCGTTCCAGTGTTGTGCCTGTGGCCTGTTCAGCCATGACTTGACCTACCTCTGTTCCCGGTGTGAATTTCACCTGGACATCCATTGTGCTTCCTTGATGCCCACAACCNTGCTAGACATAACATGTGCTGGTTTGCCACTAGAAATTGAACACCGGTTTCACCCAGGACACCCTCTCACCCTCCACCTTTTGCCACCTAAAGAACCGTTCCAGTGTTGTGCCTGTGGCCTGTTCAGCCATGGCTTGACCTACCTCTGTTCCCGGTGTGAATTTCACCTGGACATTCATTGCGCTTCCTTGATGCCCACAACCAAAAATTCCGAACCCAAACTACAGCACCAGATTCAAGAACTTAGCCATCCCCATCCATTGATTCACTGTGACAATATAAAGAATTTTCCTCATTCTTGCTTTGGTTGTGGGCTACCCTTCCAGGATTCAATCCATGTCTGCCTTCACTGCCGCATTTTGTTGCATAAATCGTGTGCTGAACTTCCCCGTGAGATCGCCCATCCTTGTCACCCGCAACACGNATCCATTGATTCACTGTGACAATATAAAGAATTTTCCTCATTCTTGCTTTGGTTGTGAACTACCCTTCCAGGATTCAATCCATGTCTGCCTTCACTGCCGCATTTTGTTGCATAAATCGTGTGCTGAACTTCCCCTTGAGATCGCCCATCCTTGTCACCCGCAACACTNTAGAAGCAGCAACAATAGAATTAGAGGCACTAAGAAGAAGATTAGATAAACTCAATGAGGGACGCAACGGGTTATATCTGCAACACCAGGCAGGCAGCTTGTCAACAGATCGAATTTTAATTGATCAAAATCTGATGCAGAAAAGCAAGCTTATAACAAACGAAAGGGGTATAATCAGACCAAACTGTTGATTTATGCACAAAAATCGGTTTAAAATTCTACTCGTAGAATACCAGTATACCAGTCTTAAGAAACGAAATGAGAAAAAATCCTAAATGAATAAAAAGAATATTTTTTTAAAAATTTTAAATTAAACTAAAAAATAAAATAAATCTTCTAAAATAAAATATTAAAATTATCGCCACCCATACTACATCAGAATCTAAATTTGATTTAAAAAAATCTGATTTAAATATGTGATGTATATTATTTTCACAATTTACGTCTCAATCAGTCAACAATTAAAAATTTTAATTCAAGTATATGATTTGACCAAATAACTTAATTAAGCTTGATTTTTCAAGATTGGATCTGAATTTTATCAAATAATATCTTTGTTTCATCATATATTTGTACTCGAATTTGATCATAATCGGGGTTGGGTATTAATATATCAAAATTTAATTGTGTGAAGTATGATATTATGAATCTATATTTTGACTTGAACTACCAATCAAAAATATGAATTAATAGTCTAACTAATCAAGCTTAGATTGGTTTNTTTTCACAATTTACGTCTCAATCAGTCAACAATTAAAAATTTTAATTCAAGTATATGATTTGACCAAATAACTTAATTAAGCTTGATTTTTCAAGATTGGATCTGAATTTTATCAAATAATATCTTTGTTTCATCATATATTTGTACTCGAATTTGATCATAATCGGGGTTGGGTATTAATATATCAAAATTTAATTGTGTGAAGTATGATATTATGAATCTATATTTTGACTTGAACTGCCAATCAAAAATATGAATTGATAGTCTAACTAATCAAGCTTAGATTCGAAACAAAATTCAATTTAGTGACGGGACTAAGCACAAAAGAGGAGCACTTGAGCACCATTCAATTTCTAGCTTCAATTAGACTTGACAATTCCTCACACTATCTGACAATTAGACACGAAACCAACACGGCGGCGTCCATAGGTTTGGGTTTAGCGTCAATGGACCCAATTAAAGAGATTATACATGATACAAACTCAAATATAAATATTTATATACAAGTCTAAGTGTGANCCCAATTAAAGAGATTATACATGATACAAACTCAAATATAAATATTTATATACAAGTGTGAGTTAAATAAATTTTGACTTAGACACGACACGGTCCATTGTTTCAAAAAAAAAAAAAAATTGGCACGACACGAAACGAAACTAATACGATTTATTTTGTACAATCCTGACATATATATCACAAAAATAAAACTTTGAGGGTCCAATGTATCAAGAAAAAATAAAAAATAAAATTCATAGTTCATATAAAATGTAAATCGGTTTCAAAACAAAAAAGTGCGTAGTTAGATAGGAGTCGACTCATTTCTACCGATCAAACTCAATCTTATGCCATAAATAAAGTATAATATTAAGCCCCTAACTCAAGGTATAAAATATAACATTCCTCAATATGAGTTTGCTTGCTTGCTTGCTGGAAACATCTAATGTGCACGAAGAGAATCTATTTTTCCTTCTCNCAAGCTATAAAATATAACATTCCTCAATATGAGTTTGCTTGCTTGCTGGAAACATCTAATGTGCACAAAGAGAATCTATTTTTCCTTCTGTTTAATTTTGTTTTATAAATATCACTTATCAAACCTGAAAGAATAAGATAAATTATTTAATCCAAACAGCCCCCAAGAGTAAAGAAGTGTTTTCTATGTGTCTTTTGACCTACCGACATGTGGGGCTCATGAATGATGAGATAACTATTCTATTTAAGGATTTTTTTTTATTTTTTTTTTTGGGTTTCAGTTATTTAGGTTTATGTCAATTATTTTCTAAGATTTTGAGTCACTTACCGTAACTCGGGCTAATTAAAAAATATATCTCATGAGGAACAACATGATGTCGATCTTTAGGGAGTGTGAGAAATATCAAATCTAAAACCTCTTACTTACGAGCGGACAAACTCAAC